CCGAGGAAGATAAATAGAAGCGATGTGGAGGTGGCTGCGGGGACAGCAGGACGCCCCTGGGTGCTGAGGAAGCCCTAAATTAACGTGTAAGGAGATCCTGGGAAGGTCTGGATGAATAACGGGGTTAACTCCGGTGGAAGAGGAAAGCGGTTCAGAAGGGGAACTGCTGAAGTTCCCAAATGTCCTAGAAAAGTGCTTCCAAATCCCTAAATGCAACAAAAGAACCTGTTCGCACTAATTACAGCAAGCAGTCCTGGGAATCTGGCCCCAACTGTTGGACAAAAAGAGAACAAGGGGATAACCCACCCCGGCACAGAAATGTCACGAGAAGTCACTCCGTTTCCACCAGGCCTTTCTGGGGTCGAAGGTGGACAAAAATGAGGGTTGATAAGGAGGTTTTGTTTGTTTTTTTAAACGGCGCACAAACCTCCTAGACTATGGAACTGGAGAAAAAAAGCAGAAGGTGGAGAGAGGGTGCAAAGATGCGGGGGGAGTCTTGGGGCAAAAAATGAGCCCATTAGATAGCGACGGAGAAAGCGGGCTGCTTCCAGAATTAATCTTCCTTAAAGCAGGCCCATTCACATGAAAGGGTCTTCAGTTGCACGAACACTGGAAACAATCCAGATAATTTAGAAGGAAGGACGTAGTATCATAAAATGCGATTTACTTCATGCAACCCAATGCGTTCCACTAAAGCACGCCAAAGCGGGGAATTCTGATGTCCCGGAACAGCAGCTCCCGACAGACCCGCCGGACCCCGGGCTCCTCTTTCAGAAGCACCTTGCAGCTCAGCGGCCAGCCTTCCCCCGCCGCGGAAGGTGCCGTCCTTGGGCGCGCACCATCCAGTGGCACCGAGCGCAGCCTCCAGCTCCCCTCGCTTCCCTTTCTTCCCCTTTCTTTCCTCGAGGCTCTGATGCGGCCTGAAGGAGGGGCTGGGAAAGGGCAGATCGGTCGCCGCCCCTCCCGCCACCCCGCTCCCGCGGCCGCGGCGACGTCCCTCGGGGCGCCATTGTGCGAGCGGGGCGGCTGCTGGCGCTTCACGGTTCCCTAAGCAGCGCCCGGAGCGCCCGCACCTCCCACATTGCTCGGATGAGGTCCCGGCGGGCCAGGGAGAGCGCCGGCTGGCAGGCTGGGCTGCTCCCGGGCCGCCGCCGCCGCCTCCCCCAGCGCGGAGAGGAGGGTGCCGCAGCGCCGCGGGAGGGTTGCTTCGCAGCAGACCTGGCGCTTGTCCTCGGAGAAGCGCTGCCCGCTCTCCTCCGCCCGAGGACACCGGTTGCCGAGCGCCGCCCCACCCGCGCCGCCCAGCCCCGCACGACGCGAGGCGCGGAGCAGCCGGGCGGCTCCGACTTTGTTCTGCGACTGAAGTTGTGTGCTTTACCCTTGGGTCGGCGCTTTGACCTTCTCCCAGACTCTAGGAAAAAGAGAGGAACCGGTCTGGGGATCCGCTCTGCGCTCCCACCTGCTGTGCCCGACTCAAAGCCTCCCTTCCCACTTTCCTGAGAGAGTCCAGAGAATGTTGCATAAGAAAGAGTATAAAGGAAATCTTCCAAAGAGGCGGTTTTAATAATTCTGTCAAATTATAGGGTGAACAATACTGCATCTCAAAATGAAAAGTTTTTAAACCAGAAATTGTTTAAAACTTGTTTTTTCCCCAACGTATTAATTCATTCAGTTAGATAGCCTGCCAAGACCTCTAGTGATTTATTTTAGTTCATCCCTACATTTAACTGTTTTGATTTGATTGTTAAAGGTTTTCTGAAGGTTATTATTTTACCTGCTTCTCCACGGAAAAATGAAAAGGGAAGGAAAGCAAAGCAAAGCAAAACAAAAAATATGACACTTAAAAAAACTGAACAAAATCAATAAGAATGAAATAGCATGATAACCTTTCTCATTCTGAGAGCACAAGTGATATACAGGTACAATACAGCCAAAACTAAGTACCTTTAGATCTGATTTGAGTGGGAGATTTGTGCAGATGTTTAATTATTTCCCATTGAAACCAATGGATCTTTAATGTGCTTAACTTTTCTTGCATTGTGAATAATAATAATAATAATAATAAATTTTCCAGTACATGAATTGGGATGTTAACAGTATGCAGTCAATAGTGCCACAGTCGGTATCATGTCACCCAGGGCTAAGGATAAGCCAACAAAGATTTCAAAGAATCCCTCTCCAAATCTTGAAGCCAGATTTGCCATTATCTCCATCTTTTTTTTCTTCCAGAAAAGTTCCTTGTATGATTTGTATGCAAAGAGAAATGCAAATTGCTTTCACAAAGATACTTAGTTGTTTATTACATTGCCTCCCAGAATCAGATCTCTGTCTAACAACTGCTAATTAAATGACTTGTAAGGGAAGAAAATCAAGGATTATTTGCCATGCCTATATATGAGAGGCGTGTGGTGCAGTATCCAAGAAATAAGCATACTTTTCTTGATTTTTGCCCTTGTTTGTGTGCTGTATCTCACCCCCACTCCAGCCACGTACAGAAATGACTATGAGGGGTAAGGATGGGTGCAAAATAGCCTTCTGACAGGATCGGATTTAGGATCCCAACCTTGGCAAGTGGCATGCTCATGCTACTGGTTCTCTTGCAGAAGTCAGAGAATGAGGTTCTGCTGAAAGGTTGTGTCAAAGTAATAAGTCAGATGAAGGGAAATAGTGTTTATTTCCTTTTTAGAAACCAATAACCATTTTGGGGGGGGGGGAATCACACATTCAGGTTTACAACCACTTTCAAGAATGAGTCATTCAAACTGTTATAGGGAGATTACTGTGGGCCAGTAGAGCAAGGTAGTTTGAACAGTTTCACAGTGCTGGCATCAGCCCGCTGTCTTATGGCTCTGAACCACCTACTTCCAAATAATAGCCACTGAAACCTAAGGGGCTTACTTCTAGGTGGTGCGTTTGGAACAGGGAAGGAGTAGCGCCTTCCACCTTCCAGTGATTTTACTCTGGAGTGCGTTCTTCTGAGGACTTCAAAGTGACCTAACAGTCATTACTCTGGGGTAAGTTGTTTCAGGAACTCTCTATAGACAACTGATATAAATTAACCAATACAGGGGGAAATTAATATTTCACACTAATCATTGTTTTCCTCCTAGATGTAATTCAGTCCACCCACCTTTTGATAGCCATACTTTTCTTAAATGTGTCTTTATTAAATAAAAAGCTGAAACAATAATTGTAAAATGCAGCCTAAACTTTGTCTTTACTATTATATCAAGTTTAATATAGATTTCTAACTTCAGAATCAGGCAAGGGAAAAAGTCACTTTAAATCAAATTTCGAAGCATTAAACAACATTAGGGTATCCATACAAACAAATGCATTATTTGAGCGTAATAGCATCAAAGTCGTTACTCACTATTCAAAACAAATCAGAAAGGAAGAAAAATAAAAAAAATAATAAAAATATGCTGGGTCAAGAGATAAACCATTTTTAAAAACTGTTCAGAAATTGGTTTCCATTGGGCTGAAATCAATATTCATCATCATAACTTTGAATCCAGGAGAGTTTTCTGTCTCCGTAGGGAAAGGAAGGAGGAGGGTATTGTCAAAACCTATTTAAAACTCCTGTGACAACTGAAGATAGAGGCCCGGATCCAGAGTTAGTTAGAATAGTTCCATTGGAATCAAAGGGACTGAAGTCAGTCATGGCTAACTTCAGTCCCACTGATTTCAATGGGTTATTTCTAACTATGACTAAATCTGGATCTAACCCAGAAAACTTAGCAAACCCGAAATCCCACCCAGGTTTCGGTAGGCCAGTTATATAAATTAAAAAAAAATCCATAAATGCTATGGAAAGTATTTTAATAGTTTTCTTTCCTTAATACTCAACAGATATTAAAATAATATCCCAAAACTACACCATATATATATATATTTAAAAAATCTTTCTTTCCTTAGGATTTTTCCCCATAGAAACTGAAAAGTCTAAGTCAGGATTTTTCTTGGTTTTGTTCTTATTAAGTTTCACACTATATTTATACATATAATTAATGTCCAATCTCTGGTTTTAAGGCATGCCATGAATTAGTACATTTTGGATTTACTGGTTCCAGTTTTACTTTGAAATTGATTTAACTCAGAATTGAAGTAATCTTTAGATTTTTATTTGCTTTCCTTTTCAGCAGAAATACTTTTTAGTAAACTATATACACATTTCTGAATTCCCTTGTGATGCCTAAAATTAATTAGAATTATTCCACAATGAATTTACAAGAAAAATACAAAAAAAAGTTAACAAAAGAAAAATATGCAGACATAACAGACATTTACAAAATCCAGAAAATTGCTGCTGGTTGCAAAAAAGTTTTATAAATAAAACAAAAAAGAACCCCGCATCATAAGAACTACCAAAAAAACCCAAAAAAGTTTAATATGGTTGTGGATTTACATCCTTGGTACTGTGTTGTGGACTAGAATGGTTGCCTCATCTTCTTTGCTCTAATAATTAGGCAGCGAACGAACGTCTTCAAAGAAGCGGCCCAAAGAGCGCCTACTTTATGCTTCTGCGTGTCAGGAAAGTTGGCACGGCCTAGATCTTTGAATAATTAACCAACGTTGTCACTTCTCTCCCATTTGTCCTTCCTCCCCTACTTTAGCAAATAAAAACGCGATGTGGGTCCGGGTGAATGATAAATACTGTACAACCCCCTCTCCCACCCCTCCGTTCAAACACAGACGGTTCGTCTAAACGCAACAACAACAGAAGGAAAAATAACAACTCCCCACCGGCTTCCCAACTAGTTCTCAGGGGCGAGTCGGGGAGCGGATTAGACCGATCTGTTCGTTACCTTCTCTCTGCATTCCCATCCTCAGCATTACGGGTATTGGTCATATAATCATAAGCATTGCTACTACAACGTCCTCAACGCGTCTCTCGCCCGCGCTCGCCCGCTGCCTGCGCCGGGCTGTACAAAAGGCGGCGGCGGGCGGGCAGTCCGGGCGGCGGGCGGCGGGGGCCCGGGGCGCCGCGCCCGCCCGCCTCAGATGTGCGTCAGGGGCACCGTGCCGTTCACGCCCGTGCTGGCGCCCTGGTAGTGCTGCGGCAGCGAGTGCAGGCGGCTCTGCGCCGCGGCCGCCGCCGCCGCCGCGGCCGCCGCCGCCGCCGCCGGGTCCCCGCCTTCGCCGCCGGGCAAGTACATGCTGATCATCTCGCGCAGGTCCCCGGGGCACGGCGCGCGCGAGTGGGCCGAGGTGACGGGCGGGCTGACGCTCGGCTCCGACTTGACCAGCGAGCCCAGCGCGCCCAGCGCGCCCGACGAGGCCGCCGCCGCCGCGGCCGCCGCCGCCGCCGCGGCCGCCGAGTTCTGGTGGGGCTGCGCGCCGTAGGAGATGCCGCCGTAGGCCGACGGCGACGCGCTCATGTAGCCCTGCGAGTTGGAGATGGGGCTGTACTGCAGCGCGCCCATGTCGTAGCGGTGCATGGGCTGCGGGTTGTGCGGGTGCGGGTGGTGCGCGTGGGCGTGCGGGTGCGCCCCGCCGCCCGGGTGCTGGCTGTAGGCGAGCTGCGCCTCCTGCATCATCGCCGCCGCCGCCGCCGCCGCCGCCACCGAGCCCGGGTAGGCGCCGTTGGCCCAGCCGTTCATGTGCGGGTAGCCCCCGCCGGCGCCGCCGGCGCCCCCGCC